TGCGGCGGTGGCGGAGGCGGAGGCGCGGCGGACTGCGGCGGCGGCGCGGTGGTGACTGGGCATCGCGGTGCGGGCGGGAGGCGGGATGTGAGCGAGGCGCTGCAGGGGGAGGTGCGCGGCGCAGGGCGGGGGCCTCCGGGCTAGGGTTTCTCGGCGGCGGGGGATGGGGGTGTCCCCTGTCTCCAGCCGGGTACCATCCCCCGCCTGGGCCGACCCGTTAATGATTGATGCGGGGCGGGAGGCTGGCCAGGGACCCGGCGGCCGTCGCCCAGGGCGAGGGTCGGCGCGGGGATTCGAAGCCCGACAGCCACGCGGGTGTTCTAGAGGACACTGGGGACCCGAGTTCGTGGGGGGCGGGGAGCCTGGCCGGGAGAGGGATGCGCTTAACTGTAACCTGCCGGGGAGGGCACTGCGGTACCCGGGACTTGGAGATCCGGGCCACGCCATTGTCAGACACCTGGTGCTGCCTCTCTCCCTTTTCCTCTCCCGTGTGTGCGTGTGTGTGTGTGTGTGTGTGTGTGTGTGTGTGTGTGTGTGTGTGTGTGTGTACGCGCGTGCGCGCGCCTGTGTATTACCCTCCTACTCCACTACAAGCCTTAGTTTATCGCTTTGCTCTAGCAGACCCATTCAGGTGCGTCACTCTCCTGTTTCTTTGTCGTGTCCAAGCCAATCGGCCTCGAGCGCGGCTCATCAGCACAGGAGCCCCAGTTTACCCTTTTGTGTCTTTAATTAGGAATCTGATGAGGAGCCCAAAGTCCGATAGCTCAGGAGCCGCTGCTCAGCAACAGAGTTTAATGAAAAATTTCAGGCGGTGATATGGCGATTCAGAAAGCCTCTAATGAGCTGAGGAATTTATTAAGACGGAATTCCCAGGCAGAGAGCTGTGTCCAATCACCGGAGGGAATGAATGAGGGCAGACAGTAGGTGCTTTCTAACTCAAACCTTTTTGAAAAGAGAGTGAAGACTTTTCCCAGAGATGCTGAGGGGATGGTTTGGATAAAAATCCATGTATAATTAACCAGAAGTACCTGGCAGGCTAGTTTGGGTGGCTGGAGGACAGAAGAAGACTTGAAGAGTCCAAAGGTTTGAGATGGGCAGCAGTGTATAAACAAAGCCTGAGCTTAAAGAAGAGGCTCGGCTGTGTGGTCTCAAATGTTCACCATCTCCCATCGCTGTGATGCCCGGGGGTGGGACGGAGTCGACTGGTATCCTGACCTTGTTATCTAGAGCAAGACCTAACTTTTTAAGGAGGTAGGCACTAAGTTCTTTACAGTTTTAAAGCCTTTTATATATTCTTCACCTCATTTGGCAGATAAGGGAATGGAGGGAACATGGCTGTAATGAGCATGCCCAGGTGGTAGATCTGAACCCAGGCAGGTTGTTATAGAGTTCAGGTCTGAAACTGGAACATCCAACTACCTTCTTTGCCCAAAGAAAGCTAGCTGATGTGAAGGACAGGCTGGTTTAGGAAAAAAAAAAAAACTTTCAATTTTCTTTTTAAAATTTATTTCATGTT